CACAAACCGAATGCTCCATTACGTCCAATAGTGAGTCAGATTGATTCGCCAATTTACAGATTGGCTCAATACTTAGCTAAAATATTATCACCACTCAGAGGACACACAAGAGCACACACTAAGGATTCATACCATTTTGTTAGTGAGATAAAAGACCTACATCTTACTGACAATGAAACCATGGTCAGTTTTGATGTTCAGTCTCTATTTACATGCCTACCTGTTGAAGACTGCATCTCAATTATAACTAGGAAACTAAAGGAAAATAACATGCCAGCAGAATATGCAGTATTACTAAGACATTGCCTTACATCTGGCTATCTATTGTGGAAGGAAGAGTTTTACAAGCAAGTAGATGGTGTGGCGATGGGCTCACCTGTATCTCCCATTGTCGCCGATATATTCATGGAAGACTTTGAGGAGAAAGCCCTCCTTACTGCACCTGTTACACCAAGGATCTACAAGCGGTACGTAGACGATACTTTCACAATTTTACCATCAGACAAAGTAACTGCATTTTTAGAACATCTTAATTCCATAAACGCTAAAATTCAATTTACTATGGAGTTAGAGGCAAATAATTCCTTACCTTTCCTAGATGTATTAGTCATCCGAAATCCTAATAACACCATTGGTCACACTGTGTATAGGAAAAAGACCCATACAAACCGATATTTAAACGGTGAATCTCACCACCATCCTTCACAGTTAGCTACCGTGGGCAAATCTTTGTTACAGAGAGCACGAGGGATCTGTGACAGCAAACACCTGGCCGCCGAGCTTCAGCACGTCAAGCAAGTTCTGCACGACAACAAGCTTCGGGTCCCGCGCCTACGTCACAGTGACCGAGTGAAGCCGGCCACAGTCGAGCGTGTGCCTGCTGTACTACCATATGTCAGAGGTGTCACAGACAAGATTGGCTATATCTTGAAGCGAGCTTCTATTAGAACATTCTACAAGCCGCCGAAGAAGATTAGTCAGTTCCTACCATCCGTCAAGTGTCATATTCCTCTACAAGATGCAGGAGTGTACAAGCTTGATTGTGAATGTGGTCTCTCTTATATAGGACAAACCAAAAGATCAATTAGGACCCGCGTAAAAGAACATATAGCTGATGTGAAGCATCAACATTCCGGGAAGTCTGCAGTTTGTGATCATATCCTAGACGGCCCCAACCATTACATCAGATTTGATAGACCACAAATCCTCGCGAAAGAACACCGATTCCTACCAAGGATGATACGTGAGGCTATTGAAATTAAAAAACATCCTAATTTCAATAGAGAAGGAGGCTGGGCACTACCACCTGCTTGGGATCCTATAATCAATAAAATTAAAACTAAACCCAAGCATACCACTGCAAGACCTCAAGACATAGTCAGTTCATTTTGCATAGATCGGACCATAAACAATAATTAAAAAAGCTGAAGGTACTCCGGGTTTAACAATGACATCGGGACGTCAGTCATCTCAGTCCCCCGTGACCATGGGTGCTGGAAAGCGCCCGAAACGTCGGGTATTAAAAATAAAAAGTAAAAATAAACGCGATAAAATCCGTAAAAGTAGTTTTAATCATGTGCAATGTTCGCGTAAATATAAGAAATCATTAACTATCGTTTTAATTTAAAAATTATTGAAGTATTATCAGCAAATAATACTATATCATGGTTATCCCCTACTATGTAAGTTAAGTCATTAATATATACAAGAAACAGAAAGGAGCCGAGAATTGAGCCCTGAGGCACGCCCATTTGTACAATCGACCCGGAAGAACTCATACTATTAATGACAACTTTTTGCGTTCTGTCACTTAAATATGAAATAATTAATTTAAGAGCATCACTTCTTACACCGTAGTGTTGAAGTTTCCTAATTAATGTTTCGTTGTGATACAATCGAAGGCTTTGGATAGGTCACAGAATATACCCAAAGCATCCTGTGAATTCTCCCATGCATTAAAGATATATTATTTACCAGGGCTGCACTAAAAGTATCGGGAATGGAATATGTCCACTGTTCCTGTCATATTAAAATCATTTTAATTGAAAACTCCTTAGTTTTATAAATCGAATACCATTTATTTATTTAAAAAAAGATTCTCGGTCTTTTCACAAGGTTCTGTCAAAATTGTTTAGTCGTTGAGAAAATGTAATTGACTCGAAAAAATTCAAGAGCTATGATTTATTATGACTTTCGAAGTGGTTTAACACAAAAACAGTGTGCTGACCGGATGATTTCTGCATTTGGCGACGAAGCCCCATCAAAAACCACAATTTATCGCTGGTTTGCTGAATTTCAACGTGGACGTGTCAAGTTCAGTGATGATCCCTGTCAAGGTCGTCCAAAAACTGTGTCACCCAAGAAAACGTTTGCTGTGCTAAGCTGATTGAGGAAGATCGACACGTGACATACCGCGAAATTGAGGCAACTTTAGACATTGGCATGAGTCAAATACAAATAATCTTGCATGAACAATTAGGTGTAAAAAAGTTGTTTTCCCGATGGATACCGCATTCGCTCTGTGAAGAGCAAAAAGCGGGTCGCGTTACTTGGTGCGTCAGAACTCTCGAAATATTCCACGCACGATCCTCAAATGCTATATACAACATCGAATCAGATGACGAATTCTGGATATACGCGTACGAACCCGAAACAAAAAACCAGTCACGAGTTTGGGTGTTCGAAAATGAGTTAATGACCAACAAAAATTGTTCGTTCACGGAGTGTTGCAAAAAAAAATGGTGGCCACGTTTGTCTCCAAAACCGGCCATGTTACGACTATTCCTCTTGAGGGACAAAGAACGGTTAATGCAGAATGGTATGCTAGCATTTGTTTGCCACAGGTCGTTTCTGAACTCCGTAAAGAGAACTGCAACCGCCGCATCATCCTCCATCACGACAATGCGAGTTCTCGCACCGCACACAGAACAAAAAGAGTTTTTAGAGCAAGAAAACATAGAATTATTAGACCATCCGCCGTACAGCCCCGACCTAAGCCCTAATGATTTCTATACTTTCCCTAAAATAAAGAATAAATTGCGTGGACAGAGATTTTCATCACCTGAAGAAGCTGTGAACGCCTACAAAACGGTCATTTTGGAGACCCCAACTATCGAATGGAATGGTTGCTTCAATGATTGGTTCCATCGTATGGAAAAATGTGTCAAATTTCTCGAATACTTCGAAAAGCAATAAATACATTTTTTAAATAGTAATGTTGTGTCACTTCCTTGATTCCCGAAATTTTCAGTGCCGCCCTCGTAATCAGCTCAACACCAGCATCATTTGTCGAGCGACCCCTTGTGAAACCGAATTGATTTTTCTGAAGTAAATTATTTACATTAAAAAAAATTAACATTTAATATACGAGGCGGGTATGGGTTGGCATTTCCCCATGTAAAAAAAGTTTAGGTTAAGTTATCCAATAATTCAATCAGTTCTACCTAGGCCAAACTAGTTAACAATAAAGTATTTATGCCAAACTAGATTGTTCTGAGCTAAATTTGTATATCCTGACACGCGTCGGATAAACCGATTTGGCCTAGGACAAACCAGTTTGTCCTGAAATCGGGTTTTGCTGATAACATAATATATCTTATAGTAATATAAAAGAGGATGTCTTGAGTAACTGACTCATCTATCAACACACATCACAAACCATTAGACGCAGAACTCTGAAATTTGGACAAAAACTATTAAATAATTTTTATAACTTAAAAATTGGGTACAAATAAATATTTTTGCATTAAAATAATGAAATACGTATTTTTAATTTTTCCGAAAAGCGTACCTAAGTGTTATGACAAAGGCACACACTTTGTATGGGAAAAATATTTTTTTAAATTGCAAGGATGTGGTTTTTAGTGGTAGAAATGGCAGATGTCAACCCCAATTAGCCTACAACTCATTCATTTTAGTTGCCCTTGATGACTTACATCTGAATAACTCCACCAAACTCTTGAAACAGTACAGTCAAGTCTGGCAACTTTACTAATGGAAGTTAACTTTGCCATCATTTACTTTGCAATGTTTTACTACAACCAAGAGTTGTCACTTTCAACCTATGTTTTTATCCGATTACGACGATTTAAACAAAAGGTTCCGTACTTGCCATTCTACTCGTATGTATGTATGTTTATATCGATGTTTCTCCCATTAGACCGATTTTACCAAATGAGTTGTCAAAAAATATTTAGATTGATTAAAATTATTTCATACGTGATCGTAATAAATTGATAATGATGACTAATAAAAAACGAATACTTGTTAAAAATGATTGTGACAAGCTTTTTTATCTTTATTATAGTTGATTTAAGCTTATTATTGCACCAATTTGATTTTAAATTTTAGAGTAAAGTATTTTTGTTTGATATACTTATTTTAGATTTCTGCTGAAGAATTATTTATTGTGACAAGATTTAAATAAAAAAAAAAAAACTAAAATACGTAATCAAGGATTTTTAACGACTGTACTGATATAGCTGTGAGTAGAAACTGCTTATAAACATATCATAGCTGATCCTAAATTCTCCATTAGGGAGTATGGACCGGATGGAGTCCACCGCGATGCTCCATGATGACGAACTTCGCACCTGTGATGTTGCTTTATTTCTTGAAAGTGCCGGTTTGCTCACGAAAATTTATTTCTATACTAAGCAGGTGGTAAATTGGCACGTATAATTGCAAATGTCACTGGTCCCATCGGTGAAAATTCTGAATTCAAGTTTCTCTCGAATTATGAAAGATATAACTCTTAATTACTGCATGATTATAATGGTTGTAGGTTGTTTATAATTGTGGGAATATGTATTTGTTTAAGTATTTCTATTGGTGTTAGTTCTCGCTATGTTGTAGTGGTGATAAGGTAATGAATGAAGTTCTTTGCTGTATTTATATTTTCATTTTGTTTGTTATTTTTTGTAATTATAATTTTTTATGTAGTACGATATGAATGCTATCTTGCATTTTGTGTTATTATCTCGTACAAATATGTGTGTCAGCTGATGCAAGTACTGTGCTGCGACTGGGTGTTGGAGGTGCGTGCGGGCGTGTGGGAGGCGGGCGCCGGGCTGCGGTCCGACCCCGCGCCGCACGCGCAGCTGCAAGCCTTCCAGCGGGACTTGCACTCGCTGCGGAGACTGTCGCAAGCTCTGCCGGTCAGTTACACATTCCTTCAACTTAATTTCTTTATAGTATCTTCCTGCTGTAAACAGGACCGTTATACCGCCATCTGCCGGAAGCGATAACAACGAGTTGAAATTTCCCATAGTCTCCTTTTACGACCGCCGCGTGACGTAATGAGATAATAGATTTTTTTACGCCACCAACGCACGAAAATCGAGAGTGGTCTGCAGTTTTTTAAAATGTTTAATTAATCTAAATATTTGTTGTTTTATAGGCAGTTTGAGGATGCCCTTGCAATAAAAGTCCGCTGCACGATAATCAGTGAACTATATTAGGCGTTCGTAGTTGCTTCTTATGAATTAAAATGCTTGTCAATCAAGAAGTTATCTAACCTGCGAAAAAAGGATGTCTGTGGGGAAGATCTTTAGAATATAATGGATGATGAAGGATCTTTAGCTTTAGCTCTACTAACTTTGCTTACTTTTGATAATTAATATGTGACCGAACGCTGTCATGAAAAAGTAGTGGCGAAGAGCAGTTTACTAATTTGGGTTGTATAATGCCAGCTTCTCATGTGTTATTTACAGTTATTGACAATAACGATTAGCAGTGTGGTACCAGATGGCAAGCAGCCATGTATGTTAAATGACACTGACAGTGTGTCTACTGTTAGTGTTATTTCATATAGCTTCCCATACTGTACAAAAATGTCACGATAAACTTTTTATTGATAATCTTCCGCTTCGGGCACTATTTGCCTCGATCACCTATATCTAACTCCAATAATTGACGCTTACGATTATCTTTAAGATCCACTTCTCATCGCAGGTTTCAATTTGTACGTAGCTTGTACGATTTGTCAATCTTATTTATTTTACTGGTTTTCCGCAAACTGTCCAGTATTGTTTTGATACTTACGTACATCAAAAGCTAACACTAGCTCAACCATAATTTGATACTGATCTGCTTCCACTAGGTATCGCTTTCAGTTCGTCATTATCAACTTCCTTCACTAGGCGGCCACAATGTTCATTTCTGGGGTCATCATTTGCCAAACGAAAACTTTTGAATCAATAACATACAGTACGTTTATTAGTAGTATCCTGTCACAAACAACAAAATAAATAAACATAAAGTAGATTGCCATCATTTAAAGACATATTAATAGTAAATGGACAAGCTATAAACGCATGTTTGTTTATATTTTAGTGGGTGACGTCACGAGTGTTTCTCCACTCGGCGGTGTGCAGAATGATGGCTGGCGCTGCACCGAGGCGGACGCAACAGTTGCTTGATGGCAGTTTGCGGCCGCGCTGCAGTCGTTCGTCAATTATTTGTGGCAAAGGTAAAAATATTACGTTCAAGAACCTCCACTCGTAATTTTCTTTCATTGAGGTTTGCGCTAGGAAGACTTGATTCACTATTTTTTTTGTAATTTAGCAAAAGAACGTCAATATAGTTCATAGGTAATCTATGTCATATTTGACTTATGCAACATTGAGACTAACTAATTTAACGTGGTAGAGCCACGCTGCAGCTATATTATGGTTGTAGCACGAATGGGTCGGATCGACCGGGTAGGGACTACGCTCTCACGGAATACCAGAGTAAAATAGCAGCTTAATAACGCTGTGCTTCGTATGGTGAGTGTAGAGATCCGGAGACCCTTCTTTACTGGAAACGAGGCATTCCATCTTAGTCCTCAGGGGTGAATATGCATCTGCGTTTTGATTCTTACTCGAGGATAAATGTAGATGTCTATGGGCCACAGCATCCACTTACCATCAGGTGGACTGTGTGCTCGTTTGTCACCATAATTCTATAAAAAAATATACTCGCCGAGTACAGACGAATAGACACGAGTACGTATATGTAAACGACTTGTTCGGGTGTGCTTGCTACTCGGCCTGCGTATTTGCCTGTTTTCCACTCGATGTCGGACTTTTAGCACGAGTCAAAAGAATGTTCATGTGTATTCGTATCGGTGTTTACGTACTCGTCATCATTCAGTTGACCCGTGAACTTTGTCGCAGGTGTTTATTATTTTTCTTTTAAAATAATTAAAAATAATAATAATAATACCTACCTACTTTGATGGATTAGAGTAACGAATTCACCTGACATACAACGCACGCACCATGAGGACTGACGGGAAGATCTTGGAGCTAGAAGAAGAGATAGACATGTTAAGCTTGAAAATTATAGGATTATCCGAGCTCCGAAGAGAGGGGGAGGACACGGTAATCCTCGAATCCGGCAACTTGTTCTATCACAGATAGGGCGACTATCTGTCCCAAGGAGGTGTCGGATTTATCGTTAACAAGTCTCTCGTTAACAACGTTTTAAAGATGGGGGTGTGTCGACGAGGGTTGCATACCTTATACTCAGAATCACCAAACGGTATTCGCTAAAAATTATACAGGTTTACGCACCAACCTCGGCACATCCCGATAAGGAGGTGGAGGAAATGTATGAGGATATATCTAGTCATGCATTCCTCCAAAACCTACTATATGGTGTTAAGGTGAAACCTACGGACTGTTCCCAGCCATTCTCCCGCAAGATGGCGCTGAAGTCAACATTTTTAGTTTATTTGGATTTTTGTGTAATTGGAAAATTATTAAGTCGTAGGAGTAGACTTAGCGGTTATCGGATATTACATTTTATTGGAATGGGTCATATCATTGCCTCAAAATCCACCCAATTCGACATTAATTTTGATTATAACATCTGTCATTGAATATAGGGTCGTTTACACACACAGACGTATCCCTACGTTTACGAAGCTAGAACACTAGATGGCGTGTATGTAAAAAAACAAGTTTTTAATTTTTGTGTATGTGTAGATTGGGTAGGCAGAACTACAAAACGCTATGTACGATTGTTATAAAAATAAAATTTATATTTGTTGGCGTAAACTATTTAATTGATTTATAACTTTGGGAAATAAATTATGTCAACATTTTATTACATTACACTATTGAATTTTTTATCAAAACAGAACCTATTCAATCGCTTTTCAATAATTTTTTTTTATGTTTGTTCCATGTATTACAGAAACAAAAACTATTTATTTATGCTTATAATTTATCGTTTTATTACCTACATATTTTTATATAACTGTTACGATTGACGTCAAGCACCCAATTTTATACATTTCCTTTATTTTTCTTTTTTTTTACTTTTTATAAGCCAGTGCTTGACCACAATCCCACCTGGTGGTAAGTGGTGATGCAGCCTAAGATGGTAAATCGCACTGTCTTAGCGTAACAAATGCCTATTCACTCTTGCCTTGAAGACGCCTAGATTGTATTCGGACGGAAAGATAGACGCCGGCAAATTATTCCACTCCTTTGCTGTACGCATTAAAAAAGTCGAAGTAAACCGTTTGGTTCTAATGCGTGGAATATCGACAACAAAGGGGCGAAGACCCGCCGACCGCCTGTTCGTCCGATATTAGAAAGGAGAGGGAGGAATTAAAGCATTCAATTCCTGCGCACACTCTGAAATGCATCCTATAGAATACCGAGAGGCTGGCTACTCTCTCGAGGCTAACAAGGTTGGTTTCAACCAAATCAAGGTCACCAAAGAGCCTCTTAGCACGTCTCTGCACTGGCATTCAGTCAGGTGGCATTTTGCAACACCAGCCCATATGTGACAGCAGTACTCCATGCACGACCGGACTTGCGCTTTATTCGCGCAAGCACACCAACTTTCCTTGCAGCTGCTTTGACTCTGGACTCAATGAATCGCCCATAGTTGAGGTTCGGAGAAAATTCAACCCCTAACAACTGAAGGCGGTCAATTAACTCCAAGGAGACATTCCGGAAAGTAGGAGGCAGGATGAGCGGACTCCTTTTAGCGGTGAAAAGACACACTTGTGTTTTGAAGGCGTTGAATCTCACGGGATTGGTATCGCCCCTTTCGGAGACTGCCTGTACTGTGAGATTCACACGCTCAACCATAGCCTCTCTTTCGGACTGGATTTGATCCCGACTGGCCTTGGTTGGTATCCCTCCACAATTGTGCTATCGTCCGCATACCCATAGATACCGATCATAAGCAGATCATTAATATGCAGCAGGAAGAGAGTTGCGGAGAGAACGGACCCTTGAGGATCACCAGCGTCAGTCGCCACAAGACCGGATGAGCAGCTATCGACGACGACCCGGATAGACCGTTCACTCAGAAAGTCTTTTACCCATTCAATCAGACCAGGGGATAAGCCGTCCGCTGGAAGCTTACCTAAAAGGCTAGCGTGCCAAACTCTGTCCGATGACATTAAATTAGCCGATATTTGGCAGGGTCGGCACGGCTACATTTTTAGGCACAGGCTGCACATTGGCCAGCTTCCAAGACTTGGGCACTATTCCAGTCCTGAATGAGAGGCGGAACAAGCGCGTCAACACAGGCTACAACTTGTGTGCACAGACCTTTAGAACTATAGCCGGTACACCATTAGGTCCACTAGCTTTGTTCACGTCTAGACTTCGCAAGGTGTTAAGAACCTCCTTGTTGGTGATACGGACCTCTAACATAGAGGTACCGCAGTGAGGTAATTGAGATGGTACGCTGTTGCTACTCTCATGACGCGAATCGCAAGCAAAAAGAGAAGCAAATAAATCCGCTTTCTTCTTAGGAGCATGCGCCAGTTAGCCATCTGGTTTTACCAGCGGAGGCAGTGTAGACCGACAGAAGTTTGTCTCGACCGCTTTGGCGAGAAACCAAAAAGCTCTACTGCCAGATGGTTTGACAGAGAGCTTTGTACCAATGCGTTTAATGCGGCCGAAACTGACTTGCCGTAACGCCTTTTTGCAAGACTTGGTGGCTGGATTAAAGGCTCTCTTCTTAAGGCTAACATCCGGAGCTTTGTGGTTTTGAGCATCGACTCAGGATAAGTAAGCCATATGCTTGTGCTTTTCAGCACGAGCGCACTCGGCGTTGAACCATGGGCGAGCTTTACGATCAATGGGCACGTCAGCAAAAGGGATGAAATAATATATAATCGCTTGATGTATCACATCGGTTAAATTATCCGCGCAGCTCGACGGATCTTCAGACGAGAAGCAGACATGCCGTCAAGGATAAGATGCAAAGAAATGCCGCATCTCATCCCAATCGCCACACTCGCCGCACACTTTGGAAATCGTAGTTGGGTGGGGAGTATAACGACACAGATTTTACTAGAAAATGGTCAGAAGTGCCCAAGGGTGAGGTAACCTGAACATTGTACCAGTCTGGATCGGTCGTAAGCAGAAGATCGAGGCAAAGTAAAGACAGAAGACTATGTACCCATCCACATCAGGTACCCTAGTTGCATGTTGTTCCAGTTGGGAGCGTCCCAGCGACAAGACAAAATTCCACGCCTCTCTCCCAGCGTGGTCGGTCTTCTGGTATGTGAACAGCCAGTCCTGATGACAGACATTAAAGTCCCCCAGAAAAAGAGCCTACTCCTTTTTTAAAAGCCGGCAACGCATCTGCAACTCCCTTGGTGTTGCAGTTGTTCATGTGCAGCGATAATCTCTTACCGTCGGGTGAGCCGTACGATCGTTTGCCTCTTCTATAAAAAAATGTCGCTAGTAGGGATTGAGGTGAAGTTTTTTATTACGCAATGTCATTTGATTGAGAAGTTAGTTTTAAATAAAAGTTTATCAGTTTCTAGAGTATTATATTGATACACAAAACAATGTCTTATTGGTTTGCTCTTTACTTTTTTGCACATTTAACTATTTTTTTTACTTTTGGGACTTTATATACTAAAATATTATATAGAAAAAAAAAACATAAACTAATTATCTTTTCCGCTATGAAATCTGTGCAATGTGGATACTCGGAAACGCGTGTCCGTCTGGAGTGGTTAATCGGAATTCGTACATATTATTTTCTTCCGACTTTCCCCCTCGGCTGTGTGTGTGCTGTGTCATTTATAAAAACCTGATAAAAACTGGCTCAGAATACTTAGTAGAGTAGACATTACCTATAAAAATATATACATACTTCTTTTTTAAGGTTATCGTTGAAATAAAAGGAGTACCTCACAGGTTTACAGATTCATTGCAATTCTTGGAATAAAACAATTTAAAATGAAGTTAAAGACAATCTTCCAATCGTAACGTTTTTGAAATGCTCGCAAAAAACACGCCCAATCCTTAATTAACACATCTGTGATCAAAGAAATTTAAAAAAAGATTGCAAATGTACGTACATTAAAAGTGACGAATTTATCCCGGATATCGAATTACGTCTAATGAATAATGAAATTAGAGTTAGTAATTGCCTGGACAAATTGCAGAATTTATAAATTACGCAATAATATTATTTAAAACGAGGAATTTGATTTAAATACAATAAGCAATGCGTGGACTTTAATAGACTCTAACGGTAACGACAACACGTAATAAGTTTTTTTGATATCGTTTGTGGTTACTAAAAATTAATTAATAATTAAAGTGTGTGTTGAACATGACTCATAAACTGAAAAAAGGATGAACTTGGGGTGAAAAGTCGAAAGAACAAATTAAAGTGAATTCCGAATATCCACTCCTTCGAGGGTGGATAGACGGACACGCATTTCCGAGTATCCACCACAGGGTAGATAAACGGAATGACCCGTAGCGCCTCCCTGGTTAGAGAGAAAGTGGTGGATGCGCTGATTGTTTGTTCTTGGGTCAGAGCGCTCGCTAGAGGGCGGCGGTGGAGCGGGCGAGCGCGCGGTGGCGCTGTACATGGCGTGCCGGCACCTGCCCGCCGCACTGCTGGCCGCGCCTGGCGAGCGCGCTGGCATGTTGGCGCAGGCCGCCGCCACGCTGCAGCGCATTGGCCACCGCAGCCGCCTGCCGCACTGCTACCACCTTATGAAGTCCCTCGGCACGCTGCCCGCCGCGCTGTGACCGCGCCCGGCGAGCGCACTGGCATGCTGGCGCAGGCCGCCGCCACGCTGCAGCGCATCGGCCACCGCAGCCGCCTGCCGCATTGCTACCACCTCATGAAGTCCCTCGGCACGCTGCCCACCGCGCTGTGACCGCGCCCTGCGAGCGCGCTGGCATGCTGGCGCAGGCCGCCGCCACTCTGCAGCGCATCGGCCACCGCAGCCGCCTGCCGCACTGCTACCACCTCACGAAGTCCCTCGGCACGCTGCCCGCCGCGCTGTTACCGCGCTACTAGTGTACACGTGTCATTTATTCCTTTCTAGTAAGTAGTTCCGCTGCAGTTCAGTGACTGGCCGCCGGCCGCACTGCTTCCTCCTTATGAAACCCTTCAAGAATGCTACCCGCGGCGTCGTATCCCCGCCGCCAATGCTACGCATTCTGCCCACGTATACTTGACCACGGCACCAGTGTGGTGACCTATGCCGCTTGCCGTACTGATACTACCCAATGAAGTTCTTCAGCATGCTGCCCGCTTCCTCATGACACATATTACGTACACCGAATCAAATAATTTTGTCCAAAGAACACGGTCTCTGTTTTCCAGTCACTATGATTTTGAGACTGTTTTCTCATAAAGTGTGTCCATTGTAAATCACACACAATGTACTAATTCGGCTAGCAGAGTAGAATTCTGCGTTAAATTTATAAAGTGACCCTTTTTTGAATTGGACTATTGGTAGTAGATCCCGTCCTTCAATAGTGACATAGACAAAACTTGTTTGGAAAAAAATACTAATATTACTGATAATAATTAATGAGGTGCCTTGGACGCAAAAACTTTTAATAGATGATTATTGGAAAATATTTAGGCTTACGCCTTTACTGACTAGGTTTAATAATGTAATCAAATTGCAAATGTTTATCAAAAAGGTACTAATGTTTAAAATAAATCCAGTCATATCGGTAGATATTTAATGCTTTTTTTAATATTTAAAGTTTAATTTTACAGAAACTGGGAAAACTCTGGGACAGGTTATGTTCAAGATGTCATTTGTATGATAGCACATATTTCTTATAGCATTAGTGTGAACTATAGAATACTATAATACATACATAATTAATACAACGGCGGAGTGCACCCCAATGTCAAATCTTCATATAAATGTCAACACGAGATGTGTTTTGACGTTACAATCATTTCCAAATTTCGCATGCAAATTATTTAGAAATGCCAAAGTGCACCCTTTTTACAAATAAATATGTATTAAAGTTAAATGTGTAAATTTTCTCAGCCTGTCAACACAGCGAATCGGGTTTGTCGACGCCAATTCTCGTATAAAATAAAGTTGACAGCCATTCTATTGTGTATTATAGTATTCTATGGTGTGAACCTTACGTTTGTTAAAAAGATTACTGCTGGCTGTAAAATGAAAGGTTCTAAAAAATATTTTGTGGCTTAAAACATGACACAAAATGGTTCCCCTAATGCTCATAGTATGTTGTTTTCTGCTTTATGATCGATTTTATTTTTAAAACTTAGTGTTTTGTCATCAATCATTTTTAAATAAAAAAAATTGTTACCCTCAATATTTGTTTTACTGTATTAATATATCATTTCTTAACGAATTTCAACAGTTCACCTTTTTTTTTCTTCGTGACAAGAATATTTCACACCTTTTGATTTTTAAAATAAATGTTTAGCCAAACTGTGTAAGAGTTTATTGTTGACTTATTTTGTATTTAAAAATATTATTTTTAATGTACTTGGAAATAAAATTTGCAGATAGGTTTCTAAAAACACATTTGACTTTTTACTCCTAATAATAATTTGTGATAATAATCTTCATAACCACCCGCGTGGTTAAAGTAAGGGATTGAAAATGGCGTCGCCTCTGTTTATCTCTCGCTCGCACACTGTCGTTATCATAGATTTAGTATATACTTACCTCAGAGTAATTACTAGCAATAGAGTCCTAAAATAGCACTGACCTCTATGTATACAAGTACGCTGGACTGGCTATACACCGTGGCATGATGACGCGATTTGATTTCCGCCATTTTGGCGCTGACAGCAAAAGTGCACGTCCACGGAACTAATAATAGGGATAAGACAGTGTACCAAATTATATCGATAAAAATTCTATACCCTACCTATACCTAAATAAATAGAATGGACTCTATGAATAGACGGACTCTACCCGTAATGTCCGTTCTATTTATGTATCATATTAATATAATGCCATAATCATTCATCATCATTAAAACCCCTCACAAGTCCACTGCTGAACATAGCCCTCCCCCAAGGAATGTCACAAAGCACGGTCCTGAGCTACATGAATCCATCAACTTCCTACATATCTTACCATGTTTTGACTCCATCTAGTGGGGGAACGTCCTACTCTTCACCTGCCGGTACGAGGCTGCCACTCGAGAACCTTTTTTCCCCATAGGTATTCGATTCTTCGAGCTATATGACCGGTCAATTTCCACTTCAGCTTACTAATCCATTTAGCGATATCGGTCACTCTGGTTCTGCTGCAGATATCCTCATTCCTCCTAAGTTTGAACACCTGAGCAGAGCCCTCTTCATAGCTGACTGAGCGACTTCGTGCTTCCTCATACGGCCAGCAGTGAAAGCTCTCGTCTCAGGTCCATAGGTCATCACTGGCAACACGCACTGGTTGTACAATCTAGTTTTGAGGTATTCCTGATGTGTTGTAATCTCCCAAACGTTGTTGTTCCGACCGAGTTGAATCCGTCGATTGACCTGTCGGTCGAAGTTGACCTTGTCGCACTATCTGTCTCAAGTAAAAATACTCGTCAACCACTTCAGCTAAATGCTCCCAAAAACCACTGTGAGATGGACATTACACATGACTTTTGTTTTGTCCATGTTCATCTTAAGATCTATGGCTTGTAGTAGCTACAGTAGCTTGTAAACGTCTTCCAATGCAGTGGTAAAGTATTTCGGGAATATTACGTCACCCTGTCTTACACATCTCTACAGTTGGTTTAGTTTTGTACTCTGGCTGTACTCGGATAGCCACCGTAGCCCTTAGATCATTCAACTAAAAAAATTATTAACATTAAACTAACTACACAAAATAAAAATAAAAACATAATTTCGAAAATAATATATTCTCAACCGTTCATTTAATTCTAGTATTATAAAAACCAAATCAGCTGCTATAATAGTCTGTCTGTAGACAGTAAAATATTTTCTACTATGTCAAAATTTATGTTTGTTTGTTACTTTTTACGATTCCATACGGTTCATTAGATTGCGGTAAAACTTTATTGGTCACACTTGTGCGAAGGTTATACGCATGGTACAATTAACTGACACTAGGTGGCGTGCGTATTATACTGACTATTTATTTGAAAGTTATATATCATTCTATTTCAATTGTATTATCATTCCTAATTATACAATATAACTGTTTCACATTTTTAACGATATTTCCACAATTATTTCTTCTGCGGCAGCTTTTTTTTTTTGTGCCGGGTACGAGCTAGCAAGATAATATAAAAAATATAAACTTTGAATTACATAGTTTCAGTTATTTACGTCATTTTCGAAATTAAAATTGCAATGTAAAAAAAACTGAAATTATCATACAGTCCTACTTTCCGTGGTATCGTCCCAAGAATGCTGGCTACGTGCCCACTACCTCAAGTGAGGAAGCAACAAACTAAACAACTTCTTATTACCAGCAGCGATGATCAGTCGCAGATACAGTTTTTTTTTAATAATTCAAATTTTTTAAAATTTTAAATTTTTAATTAAAGCCTATTTAATTAAAGCATTCTTTGTTTCAACAGGCAATCCATTAATAAAAAAATAGGCGATTGGTATTCCAACTGCCTTTTAACAGAACAATCATAAAAAACCAATGCGTCTCTACAATCACGTAAATCATTACATTCGGAATCAATGCCAAAATCAACATAACCACGCGTTACACCATCACGGCTGCGAGAGCAACTTTTCCTTAAGCCCATTTCGTCTATTATCAAAGCTCAAATTAGTTTTTCTTCATTCTGTTTTTCTTGGTTACTTTTAGGTTGTAAAGCATTAAAACTTTCAACTAAGAACCCCGGATTCGAATCTACAGAGCTATACCAGGAGCATATTACCCGAGGATGTGGTAATGCTATATTAAAAAAATTTCTGACGAAAGCGTATGCTTTTACTGAGTAAAAATGGAGAGTTATAGCAAAAGCTCTTAATTCCGAGGGATAATTAGCATGGCTGACATTTTTACCGGTATTTAATATCATTCTTTTAAACAATTGTGGCTTGAAGTCGTCATACTATTTTCTTCTCTTTAATTCAATAATTACATTACTTAAACAAGTAATGCTGACCTTTAATCGCTTCACATGTTGCGATAGGATATTACACGAGCTCGTGTGTTTTTCAAAGATTTCTGAACTCGTTCCAATGCCTTTTTGGATGATCTAGGGGAGTATTCATAACGATGATCATGCTTGATATTATCACAGACTTCAGAAATAGACAAAACCTTCTTTGAAGTGACAGTCTGTTCCCGGTAGCAACTTGTGTTCCGACCTATATACCAAATTTATATTGATAAATAACACAAAAAAACAACAATTAAGAAAACTACACATGATCTTTGCCACGGTCTGCTTGTAATAAAAAAGAAAAGAAAAATCAAGATACCAACATAAAAAAGAAGAACTTCTTCGCAGGGTCTTAATCTCGGGCAGCTCCATGTATTCTGGAGGCAGCAACGTACCGCATTCCATAGTGTCGAGATCAAAATATGGACTTCACCTTTATCGGCGCATATTGCACTAACTCCTAAGCTTTCCAGCTTCGGCAGTGCCACGTATTCTGGAGGGCTTGACATATCGCAATCCATGGGTTCTTGATTTTTTTTTATAAAGAATATTAACAATGCTATAAACATTACTAATATTCCCCTTAACCACTCGTGGTAAGCTTAAATTGCTTGTGTTACGAGTGGTTCACGCCAGTAGTCGAGTGGCGGATT